AATCTAGACAGTCACACCATAATAGACAAAAAAGAAAAGAAGCATGCTATTATTTCATATATAATCATTGTTTTGTGTGAATTATTAGAAATATGTGCACTTTGTGAGGCTATCGAATGAAAATGTAACACAAGACTATATGCTGCAGAGGTCAATCTGGGTCATTTTTAAATATGTTTATGGACTCAATTTTCAAGAAATTGGTGCTTTTTTATACAAAATATCATCTTATAAAGAGAATTAACCAAAAAATATAACCATCATTAAGTATCCGCTTAAGGCGGCTTAAAGGAAGCTTTATTTAAGCCACCGCTAAGGGATTAAGCCGTCATTAAGTCATCTTTCAGCCACATTTACGCAACCTTTAGTCTTAAAACAACCTTTAAACTATCTTTCAGTATCATTTAAGCTGGTAAAACCTTATTCATTTTATGAATTTTGTCTCGCTAAATCAAACATTCGTGAAACGCGGGCATTAGAATTTTGCTACCAAAGAAAAATATCAGTTTGTTTGAATACATGTTATTGTGTTTAAAGTTGGTTATCCATAAACACATATTTCATTTTTTTTTAAATTATTTCACGTTGTATTTTTAGTAGCACTAAACATATTTTTGATGTCAAAATATTATCAAATCATTAAGAATTAAAAAAGAAAAGACAATAAGTAATAATACTTATCATTTAGCAATTAGAAAAATATCATTTAATCAATACTAATGATAATAAGATAAATATAGAATTTAAAAAATGACATGAATTACTTTAAATTATTTATCTTATTTACCGTTCATTTCATTATCGGAATTTCTAGGATATAATCAAACTTTTCCTGTTGTTAATCTAAAACAGACTATAGGTCACCTGTAATTAATTTCTTTTGTTCTCTCCCTCCCCTTACCTGTATACCATTCCCACCTAGCCAAAACCAGTCATCTGTAAAAATTATTCATTATTCAAACGGGGGGAGGGATTATAATTACAGCTGTATATCAGATGGTCGAAATAAATATTTTGATGTTTGAAACAATGATATTTTTTAAATTTCTCGCTGTCCAATCGTAGCCTATCTCTTCTCGTATCGGCTTTGAAAGCATACTCATAGTCTATTTTATCGGTACAGTCTCATCCATATCTTTATTACTTCCTCGTGTCTTTTCCAACCTAAAGTTATTTTCATCCTTCCCCTTTTACTTATTTTCCCGTTAAGCTCTAGTCAACAAAGATTGAATAAAAAGATTAACGGGAAAATAAGTAGAAGGGGAAGGATGGAAATAACTGTAAGTTGAAAGAGACATCATGATTTATAAAGATACGACATAGACAACATTTCTATGTATGAGATTTAAGCTCTCATCAACAAAGATTGAAAAAACAAATTAAAGGGAAAATAAGTAAAAGAGAAGGATGGAAATATGAAATGGTTCCAAGTAGATTCCAAATACTCTGGAACTTGTGATTCCAAGTGACTTCCGAATGAGAATTGACGGGAAATATGAAGAAAACGAACAGCAATCAAGTTCAAAAGTCCATTCAAACAATACAAATTAGGAGCAGAGCAATCACAGACCTCAAAAATATATCAGAGGTGGGATCAGGTGCCCTGGAAGAGTAAGCATCCCCTGTCTTCCGGTCAACCAGCCATGTGTTTCTTGTCATGATCGGGAAAACGGAAAATTCAGTTAAAAAGTGAAAATAATAGCCTAAAAATTTGTATGAAAAAAACGTCATTCAACATTGAAGATAGATTTTATTTGCTAAGAAGGTAATTGTATCGACCATATAAAGCGAAATTTTGCTTTAAATAGGACTTTTGATATCCTTGAATCATAAACTTATTTGTCAATAGCTATCTTCCTTTTAGATATTGTTCGTATGTGTCTTTTATAAGGGAAATATCAAATTGACATCGGCATGAAAATGGATATTATTTGTTGATAAAACGTCGCCGATATGTCTTAATGTCGAATTGAAGGCCACAGCAAGAGACTTCTTTTCATGTAGAAGTTTTTGAATAAACTCGTTTTTACATAAATATAAAAATAGGCCTGTTTATAACTGGACAAAATTTGTACCCATGGGAATCCCAACAGATTGTCGGAAGACTTGATCGCCAAAAACTACATAGATATTGTCAATTAGAAACTCAAGCGTCTTTTTAATATCAACTCTTGTGTGTACAATCAGAATGTTTTTTAAGGACACTCTCTACACTGCACCCTATTTTCAGGGTTCTTTTGTGTAATTAGACTGACCTACCATTTGACATACAAGTAGAATAAATTGTAATCTGAACTAAATCACATAATTTGAAATAAATCCAAGTATTCTAAACATTATATTAGACCAAGATAGAGTATTTGAAAACTTTATTTGCGTGTATTTAATCCATTTGAGTTAGTGAAGGCAATTTTTCTTTTCTATTACTTCATTGTCTTTGAAGATTTTTCCTGAATAAAAAAGGCACGCTCCCTATATTAAAAATGAGTTAGTTAATTTCAAAATATCCTCCTTTATGCTAAATAATTTTCTCAAAGTCCCAAAAACATTTTACATAAGTGTATAGAGGGTCCTTAACAAAATAATTTTGCCTATGACCAATGACAAGCTATGTAAATTTACCGATCGAGTTCCATTTTTTTTTTTTTTTTTTTGAAAAAAGGAAAAGAGATCTTGAAAAGGAGCACACGCGTGTGTGACCGGTCGGCAGGGGATGCTCACTCCTCCATGGCACCTGATCCCACCTCCGATATTTTTGGAGGTTCGTGTTTGCTGTGCTCCCGATTTATATTGTTTAAATGAACTTTGAGCTTGAATACTGTTCACTATCTCCATATTTCACTGTCTATTATGTCTTAAAGGCTGAACTTTAATTTATCGTGGGAAAAGGGCTGTATAAAGCCTTGAAAAGTCATACGTTTTGCTGTTTTTTTTTTTTTTTGGGGGGGGGGGGTAAAAATTTGTGATTTTAAATTTTCTTAACACCACTTCTCGAATATGTTGTTGTGTAGTACTCTTTAAGTTTTCTTTCACTGCTGTTAGTATTTTGGTGAGGAGGGAAGAAAGAGGCTTAGTAGAGCTATCAAAGACGATGAAATCCAGACAGACAGGCCTATACTACTCGAGGCGGGCAAGTTGAAGTTAATACTGATAGCAAATTGGTTATTTTTTGACAGCAACAAGATTTAATAAAATTCAAATATTGATAGATTAACTTTATAATTCAACTTTCCTTACTTTCATCATTTTGAACTAATGGAATTCTACGGAGAGTTCGTTCTGTTCATTTCCCAATGAATTGAATGTCAATTTTAGCTAGTTTTAATGAACGCATTATTATGATGTTCGTTCCTTTTTTAAGTCAGTACAAGAAAAACAGGAGAATGACAATATTATATGCTTTCCCAAAAGTATGATTATATTCCTTTTATGATTTAAATTCAGCTTTTATAATTTTTTGCTGTTTGATTTAAGGACATACTCAACGTACATGTACTTAACAATGTACCTTTCCCACTGATAATTTTCGGAGATATTTTTAGTTTAAAAGCATAATACCATTACATGTTCTAGACAAAAAATCTGCATACATTTCGAGGATTTTCGAACAAATATCAAATGATGAAATCATTGCATTTTTAAAAGAAAAATTAAGGGAAAAAGTTTCAGCAGGTTTTTCTAAAAAAAAAAAAATGAATCGAAATAGGTGTACAGCATTATGCGACATCATAAAATTGCACAAAGGTCACTCAGTTATTGTATCTATTAAATTATTCAGAAATTATGAAAAATAAGTCCAAAACTACGTTGTATATGTCCTAAAAATATATCTAAATCATGTATTTTATTTCACAAAAATACAAAAAAAATTGGTTGAGTAGAAAAAATAAAATATTCAAGTAAGTTATTAAGTATTATAATTGCTTAATTCCGGAATGACAAGGGATATAACTTTGTAAAGAGCCACGTATTTTCCGTATTGTGTTCACAATTAACAAAATTTTATTGAAGTACTTACAAATTTAAATCAGAAAATAGAAAAAATTAAGAACATTATATAGAATATAAAAAGAAAAAAAAAATTAACGTTTTTATGATGTGAGTGCTTTTCTCATTTTCACTTTTTGTATTTCGTCTGCACTTAAACTTAATAGAGGATGTTAACAATTCTATTATATTTTGGCTTTCCTTCTGGATCAGGAAGTACCGGGTTCGATTCTTGTTCCCGGCGCCTCGTCAAACCTAAGACGTTCCTTCGCCAAGTGTGCGCTGCACTAGAGGTGAAAGTCAAGGGTCTTTCGGATGATACCCTAAAATACCGAGGCCCCATGTAGGCGTTAGCACGATAAAAAAAACTCTCGCTGCTTAATGACCCTTAGTGCCTAGAAATGGTCTAAATTTGAAGCCTTTCATCGGTATATGGTGACTTCTAGTATGTGTAAATATTCTTGAAAGGAACTTAAAACATCAATCAATCAATCAATTTATTTAAGTTTGACTGCCACAATTTTAATTCTTATTTATAGATGATAATTCCGAGGAAGAGTGTCAATACTTGGCTTAGAGGCAATAGAAGAAAAATAAGCATGTTAACATATATTTTTTCGAATGTATATCCATTCCTCGGATGTATGTCTATCAAGATGGACCCATTTAGTGCGTAGTATAGAACTACCTTAATTTAACCTGTTTTCTTTCAGATAATTTTACATTTCAGTGACTATAGACTAACAGACAGACAAACAACAAGAAAAACCTTTTTTCTTCTAAAGATTGTGGAGACTGATCTAAATAGATATTTTCTCTTACCAGTGATGTCTTGACACATCTTTTAATCTTTGGCAAAATATATTGGCGAATTCATGCCAAAAAGTATCTTCAAAGTTGATCATCAAACACGCCTACGTTTTCTAGACAGGTTAGCCTTTAGACTCACATGGATCACATGATTAGTACATGATTCACTTAATTAAATTTCAAACATAACATGGTATTTATACCTGTTCGACAACAAAGATCCTGAATTCTGTTTCTTGATCAATTAATATTGGAATAAGATTCTTAAGAAGAATGCACAAATGTTCATCCCTGTCCCTGAAAGGAATAATGATGGAAACATGGCGCTTTGGAAGGCATTTGGTCGGTTTCCAATGACCTCCAAAAATTTCAATTTTTCCTGCAAAGGATGAAACAGAAGTGCAGTTGACATTAGTGTTATGCGTTTTAACATTCTTTGTATGAAGATTAGTCCTTTTAAATGCATTTCTTTCTCTTGGACATTTCACGTTGAAACATTCTGTATCGTTGCAAAATCGAGGATTGCAGGGTTTCACAGTAACTTCTTCATTGTGATTATCCCTGGTGATGCACTCGATCAGGTTACAAGGTCGTAGGTCTATGCTTCTGTTGCCATCTGCAATAAAGTTTGTACGAAAAAAAAATATAAATGAATTTTTCAACCAATGTAATACATTCAGGATTTCTGAATCAACCTCTTAATCTTCGATTCTTATTGATGTAGCTTTGAACATATTTTTTTAATAACTGTATCATATCCAAAATTTATTTGTTGAACTGAATCATATTAAAATGCATGATGTTTGTGGGGAAAAAACAGCGCAATTCACATAAAAACTTAAACTGAAGTATTTTTAATTTCCTGTTCTCGAAATATCTCAGAGCAGTTTATAATTCTAATCTTCTCAGAACGTTTTCCACTCTGACATTTTTACCTACTCTGTAGTATTAGTATGCATATATGTAAACTGTGTGTATCTCAAACAATCCTCCGCCAAAGAGAGAATTAAGCAGCATTATAACTAATAAATAACACTACGGGCAATAATGATTTAATTCATTTAATTTTTCTGGATAAGTTTTTGATGATTGTAGATCATCATCTCAAAGACAGAGAGAGATGAATAAGAGATACTCGTACTTATCTTGGGAGGAGTTGAACAAGGTTCCAAAAACGTGCTCACAATTTGAGGCCTTCCTGATACAGTTTGAGGTTTTTCTGATACAGTTTGAGGTTTTCCTGATAAAATTTGAGGTTTTCCTGGGGTTTTCGTATAACTGTGTATACGTATTATGTGGCCTGGAATATTTGTTGTAGTTTTCACAAACCAAAGCATATTAATTCCACAGAAAGCCAACAACAGAAATATCACAGAAAAAAATTTCTTTTTGTCAAATTGCATGACGTCGTAAAATACGAGCGCAACGATCACGATCAGATTTTTCACTACAATTCATATATTTACTTGTTTAGTAAGAATTCAATTTATAACACTGTTCATCCACAGAGTGTTCTCAAACATTCCAAAATAATTATTATAAAAATTAAGACACTAGGATAATAATTATCTGGAAATTTCTTCAAACTTTTTTTTTCAATTTATCAGCATAACAAACATTTTCCCTTCGTGGAGGAAGTGAGTTTCCTCATACATACTTATTCATTGTTTCTTATCTGAAACATTCCTTCTCCGGTGCAATAAAGTTGAGGAGGGTGCAGATACTTGCATTAAAAGGTCCTAAGTAAAATACATAACGGATCACATCAGTATAAAGGGTCCGATTCATTTTAGTCTGTACAAAATGTAAATTTATCGATTTCCGTTCCAGTTCATGACCTAAGTTACATGCATGTTCTGTTATCGTTTTCCTCTACGTTTAAGTTCTAGTGACCGCGCGTGGCATGTAAAGATAGAATCCTTTTCGTTCTCAACTACGATGCAGCGTGATATTGTCGACGCATTTTGAGTTCCTTATATCCAAATTTTATTTGATGTTTTTTCTTTATTTTGATTTTAGTGTCTAGTCTTAAGGAAAAATAACAAAATCATTTTTTCTTTTTCAAAAATCGAATATTTTTGCTTAAGTTGGTGCCTCTCTCATTAAAGAAGTGATATCTGTTTAGTTAAACAATTTTATTTTTGACTAAGACATATAAATTGGTGAAAAGTGAGAAAATTTGACATAAGGTTCTATAAATTATTTGAATTTTTTTTAAGACAATTGAAATTTTCAAATGTTTTCATTTGAGAAATATTTTTTTTAAAAAAATAGCAATATAATTCTTTGCTAGAGATAACAAAATTTGTTTGTGATCTTGTTTCTTTTTGTCTTTAATCTCCTACTTAATATGTGTTGTTTTTTTTAAAAAACACTTTTCCATGGGAATAATAACAAGAGATCCAGGGGCCACATCGCTCACCTGAGCACTATGGGTAGGAAAAAGCAGAAATCAGTTCAGTCTTGAAAGGTTGAAAAGTTTAAATATAAAAGTGGTTTGGGGGGAGGGGATGTCATGAATTGAACAAATTTGAATCTACATTATCTGAGGATGCTTCCATTTAAATATGACCAATCATGGCTTTGCTGTTCTTGAGTAGAAGATTTTTAAAGATTTAACCTATGTATTCCTATGTAAAACTTTGATCACCTATTGTGGCCCCACCCGACCCCCAGGGGTCATGTTTGAACAAACTTGAATGTACACTATCTAAGAATGCTTCCATATAAATATGACCAATCATTGCTTTGCTGTTCTTAAGAAATAGTTTTTTAAAAAGATTTTTCCTAAATATTCCTATGTAAAACTTTGATCGCCCATTGTGGCCCCACCCGACCTCCGGGGGTCATGATTTGAAAAAATTTCAATCTACACTACCTGAGGATGCTTCCACTTAAGTTTCATATTTTCAAGCACAGTGGTTCTTGAGAAGAAGATTTTTTAATGATGCCATTAATTTTTCACGAATTCTTAATTATTTCCCCTTGGAAGAAGGCGTGGCCCTTCATTTGAACAAATTTGAATCCCCTTTACCCAAGGATACTTTGTGGCAAGTTTGGTTGAAATTGGCCCAGTGGTTCTGGAGAAGAAGTCGAAAATGTGAAAAGTTTACAGACGGACAGACGAACTACAGACAAAATGTGATCAGAAAAGCTCACTTGAGCGTTCGGCTCAGGTGAGCTAAAACATTTTATTGATGAAAGATGTAAAAATTTAAAAAATGGAAGAGAAAATACTGATATGTGATATGTTTATTGATCAATACGTATAACTAGACAGTTCTAAGATGACAGCTTTATTGATACCCATGTGTTATGAAATACTGAACACGATTTCAATACATCCTCACATAATTTTCCTCCTCTTAAACAAAACAATGTTTAAGTATGTAAACATAATAAATGAAAAAAAAATTCAATTTACCTCTACTAATGTAACTAAACGTCAGTAATGTCCAAACATTTCAACTAGTCAGTAACCTTTGAAAAAGGAACTGAATGCATAACGTAAGGCATGTTACCTGACAATCTATGCAAATACATTGTAAAACATGATAAATCATATGAAATGCCTCTGATACATAGAACAATGGCACATATATTTATGTGATATTAAAAATTAAATGACACTGGTTTTCTCTTATATTGCCAATGCACATTCACTTCACAAATCCAATTTCTTATGAGGAATAATAAGTGTCCCTGATCTCGTGGTGTTTGTCTTTGATGTAATACTTGTAGAGGTTTGTTGTATGGCATCAGAATTCCCAGTTTTGTTAGTAGCAGTTGGGGTCAAACTGGATGGTTCTTGTAAACTTTCTTCGTGTGAACTTTCGTTTCGTCGTGAAGCTTTCTATAATTTGGTTAATCATCAATTATTTCATTGACCTTGTGAGTCGAGGACCTCAGGTTGTTGCGATTTTAATGCAACTCTCGATTTCCTACTTTACAATACATGATCTGGTGCTTCATGATGACAATCACTCCTTGGATCCACTCTCTTTCTCCCTCTGTGGCATGATTCGTACCAGGTGTATAGGATGAAATATGGAGATAACGAACAGTGTTCAAGCTCAAAGTGCATTAAAACCATACAAATCAGGTGCAGAGCAAACATGGACCTCCAAAAACATCAGAGGTGGGATCAGGTGCCATGGAGGAGTGAGCATCCCCTGCCAACCGGTCACACCCGCCGTGTGCTCCTTGCCATGATCGGGAAATAACGGAAAAATCCGTAGACAAATCAGTGTGTAAATAATGGCCTAACAATTAGTATGAAAAACGTCAGTCAGCATATGACTTAATGATAGATTGTATTTACTGACAAGGTCATTGTATCGACCATAGAACTTACGAAATGATGACTTTAAACGAGACTGATATTCTGTTGATATTCTTGTTTCATCATTGCAACAGTTACTTGCTTCTTCATTGTCTGTCCAAACTAGCTCTCTGCGTGTCCTTGACCTGACTGTAGACTCTGCTGTATATGATCACGGTTTTGACCCTTTGCTTGCAGAACATCAGATGCTGCCGGTAATGTATTGCGTGGGTCTCTTTCTAATGAGAAGTTTTGACGGAGATAAATTCACTTCCTCCAGTGTTATAGTCCTATAAGAAGAGCAAGCTGTTTATCCGCTGTCTTTCTCCATAGACGTTTTACCGTTTGTACTGCACGCTTCACAGCACCATTTGAGCTCTGAAAGTGTGGACTAGAATTAACGTGTATGATGTCCAATTCATTGTAGAAATTACGAAATTCACATGAACTTAATTGTGGTCAGTTATCAGATCGGATTTCCTTTGGAATTCCATGGGTTCCAAATATAAATTTCAATGTTTCCCTAACAAAAAAATACTATAGTTAACTATAATTTACTATAGTAAATCAAAGTGTCAAAGTTATCACTATAGTAAATCAAAGTTTTTAAAGTTATCACTATAGTGTCATAGTGATCACTGTAGTAAATCAAAGTTTTCAAAGTTTTCACTATAGTAAATCAAAGTGTCAAAGTTATCACTTTAGTTAACTATAGTTTTCATAGTGTCAAAGATATCACTATAGTTAACCATAGTAATTTATAGTTAACTATAGTAATTTAAAGTTAACTTTAATATTTTTGTTAGGGTTCAATAGTAGCGATGATGACTGAGACTGTATCTCCACAGAATCTATAGACGTAGAAAAGTATTCTACAACCACAAGGCATTTCTTTGACACCAAGTCAAATCGACTCATCCCACCACTGTATATGGTAAATCTGGAATTGATGTTGGTTTTAAAGATTATGGTGATTGTTTGTTTGTCTTAACTGTCGTCCATGATTGCGAATGATTCCTTAATTAATTCCTTCTAGCATTTGATCCATAATGCATTGATAAATATCTGGGGACAACATTATGCCTAATGAGAGTCTAGCCAGCAAAAAGACCAATCATGGTGTTGAAAATGTTTAAGTATGATGATTCATTGTCAAATTTAATCTGCATGTAACCAGTTATGTTGTGTCAAGATCTGAAATAATTTTGCACAGGGAAAAGATGACGACACTTCCTCTACAGTCTTCATGGGGTGATGTTCTGTCTTAATGACCTCATTTAGGGTCAGTACAGAGGCTCACAACCATCGAGCTTACCCATACGGTGAGTTCTTCATTTCCACGTTACTTTTCCTATATTTCTTTACTCCTTGTTCTGATCTGTGACCAGTAACATTCGTGATTTCTGCCTCGGGAACACCGCCTACAAACAACTGAGTTGCGCACGTTTTGCTTCCCTATGGTGCAGTTACATGTATGGGACTATATTTTTCAAAAAATAATGATTCAATGCTTATATTTACATTTTTAACCCCCTGCCTTGATTGCAAATGTGATTTATATTTCAAAATTCCTGTGGTATCCTTCGGGTAAGTTACAGTTAATGGAAGAGTCGTTGCAACAGCTTCTGTTCAATGTGAGCGTGAATTTTGATTTTCACTTATGACGTTGCATTTCCACGGCGCTCAACTTTCCCCCTGTCTGTGTTATGGTGTGTTGAGTGTCGTAGCTTTCCTCACACTTTATACGCAAAATGCAAAATACATGTGGAATATATATATATATATATATATATATATATATATATATATATATATATATATATATATATATATATATATATATATATATATATATATATATAATGGCCTAACAATTTGTAGGAAAAAAGTCAGTCAGTATTATTTTTATTATTTATATATTTATATATTTACTAGCCAGGTCATTGTATTGACCATAGAAGTTTCAAAATGTTGACTTAAAGCAAGACTGCTGCTATTTTTGTATTATACTCTTAT